AGCATATATAGTGCTATAATTTCAGGAGTAGATTCCAGTGATTCACCCCCTATGTGTAACACCCATACGAGTTGCTCATCCCAACAAGTGTCTTCCTTAATGCCCCTTACCCATTTAGCCCATCCCCTCACCTACAACCCCTCCAGCAACCCTGTTTGTTCTGTTTTTAAGAGTCTCTTATGTTTTGTCCCCCTTCCTTGTTTTTATATTATTTTTGCTCCCCTTCCTTTGTGTTCATCTGTTTTGTTTCTTAAATTCCTCATATGAGTGAAGTCATGTGATATTTGTCTTTCTCTGACTAATTTCACTTAGCATAATACCCTCCAGTTCCATCCACGTAGTCGCCAGTGGCAAGATTTCATTCTTTTTGATTGCTGAGTACCACATCTTCTTTATCCATTCATCCATCGATGGACATTTGGGCTCTCTCCATGCTTTGGCTATTGTCGATAGCGCTGCTATTAACATTGGGGTGCATGTGTCCCTTTGAAACAGCACACCTGTATCCCTTGGATAAATGCCTAGTAGTGCAATTGCTGGGTCGTAGGGTGGTTCTATTTTTAATTTTTTTGGGGAATCTCCATACTGTTTTCCAGAGTGGCTGCACCAGTTTGCATTCCTACCAGCAGTGCAAAAGAGATCGTTAGAGCCTCAAAGTCTTAAGTTTTGTCTCTATTACATTTAGCTTCTATTTATATGTAAATGTTCGAAGATGTTGATAGTGGTCTTTCTATAGGGGTGTAACTAAAAAGTGATGTAATTAGTTCATTAGTCATTTCTCTGTAATCTGACCAAAAATTGTCCTAATATTAAATAAAAATTTCTGGGGCGCCTGGGTGGCTCAGTTGGTTGAGCATCCGACTTTGGCTCAGGTCATGATCTCGTAGTTCGTGAGTTCGAGCCCCACATCCGGCTCTGTGCTGACAGCTTGGAGCCTGGGGCCTGCTTCGGATTCTGTGTTGTGTGTCCCTCTCTCTGCCCCTTCCCCCCTCGTGTTCTGTCTCTGTCTCGCGAAGATGAATAAACGTTAAAAAATAAATTAAATGAATAAAAATTTCTAATGTTTATTGTAGAATATTTAGAAAATGCGAAAGTGAGAAGAAAATCATGAAAGTGAGAAGTGTTTATTTTTCTTCATGCTAGACTCTTAACAAAAGTAGGATCTTTAAAAAGATACCATTTTGTGAATTCCTTTCAATTTCTCTGGAAAATTTTATCTATTTGCCTGTTGTACATTTGGTTGGTTTCTAGTTTTTTTTCTATTAGTGATTCCATGAATATCAAAGTAAGAACTATGTGTCTTTGCATTTATACATAATTGTTACTTGTCATAAACTTCTAGAAACTTAATCATTGAGTAAAATGGTTTACCTTTTTTTTTTTTTTTTTTTAAGTTTGTTTATTTATGTAAGCTCTACACCCACAGTGAGGCTCAAACTCACCACCCCAGGATCAAAAGTCTAATGGTCTTCTGACTGAACCAGTTAGGCGGCCCTCAGTAGCTAATGTTTGAGTCATTTTTTTTGCCAAGTACCGCACAAAAGTTAGGAGATTTAACCTATGTAATCTTGTATCCTTTTAGCAATCCTATCACCTTGTATGTATTGTGATTTCCCAGTTTGAGATGAGTCGGGAAGGAACAAGTAACTTCAGTGAGGTTCTATTCCTAAGGGGCAGGTCCAGCTGAAGGCCGCTTTGTGTGATACTTATTCATGAACGTCTGATGCATTTGTTCAGTAAATGAATGCCTGCTGTAGTCAGAGTTCCGGGGAGACCAGTGTGGATGAGATGGACAAGGCTTCTGTTCTCATGGGGCTTACACCCTCGGGGTAAAACTGACCTGAAGCAGCAGACAAGCTACTGTAATACAGATTCACAGAGGTGTTAGGGATCGGGAAAGGGGGGGCAGGATATTTTAGGTGGGTGGGGAGGAAAAGCGCTTATTGATGGGGTAACCTTTGACCTGGAGGGCAGAAAGGAAATGTGGAGCCCTGAGAGAGGACGGGTGGAAAGAGTGGTTGCAATCCGTCTTAAAAACCTGCGTGACCTCTGACCCACCAGTTACAGGCTTAAGACGTTTTTGAAGGAAGTTTGTTTTGTGACTTGACAATTCATCTTTTCTGAATTACCTTTTTATATCTTTTACTTGCTTTTCCACTGCTGTCTTAAGCCATCTTGTAAGAATTCTTCATCTCTAGGTTATTCTTTTTTTTTTTTAATTTTTTTTTCAACGTTTTTTATTTATTTTTGGGACAGAGAGAGACAGAGCATGAACGGGGGAGGCGCAGAGAGAGAGGGAGACACAGAATCGGAAACAGGCTCCAGGCTCTGAGCCGTCAGCCCAGAGCCCGACGCGGGGCTCGAACTCACGGACCGCGAGATCGTGACCTGGCTGAAGTCGGACGCTTAACCGACTGCGCCGCCCAGGCGCCCCTCTAGGTTATTCTTTAGTCTGCTGAGTTCTAGGTTCCTTTCCCAGCTTTGCAGGCTGCTTTTTAGTTTCACTGGGAGGTTTTGTTTTTCCAGAGGTTTAAGATTTTTACTTTTGTTATATCTGTGAATCTTTATTTTGTCTTTAGGGTTGTCCTTAAAGCCCTTCTGTACTCCAAGATTAATATTTTAAAAGGCAGTGTTATGTATTTATTTCTCAATACTTTTTCTAGTCTGTTTGTAGTTTCTCTGTAATGTCTCCATGTTCAGTTTATTTGAGCATGTGGTTGATGTGAGGTATGAATCTAGCCTTTTGCAAATTGTCAGTTTGCAAGTACTGTTTGTTGTCTCCTTTCTCTACAGGGAGCTCTGTCATCATCATTTACTACGTTCTTGCTGACTTGCATCTGGACTTTTCTGTTCCTATAATATCCAGTTCTATTTTAGTGGTCAAATTTTATATATATATATTAAAATTCTTTAAATATTTATTTGAGGGAGACATGACCTGAGCCAAAGTCGGACGCTTAACCAACTGAGCCACCCAGGCACCCCTGACTAGGTTTTATTTCTATTGGTCGTTTGGAATATGACAGACTTCTCAACGAAATGATGAACTAAGTCTGACTAGAAGATGTTTTGCATTAATCTTGAAATCTGTGATCTTTACTATGTTCATGTGGCTGGAATTGTTACTTGATCAGTACTTTACTATTTCATATCTTCTGTAGGCTGTTGCATGTTTAAAATCCATACATTTTGAAGTGTGCCTCTTGTTTTAATACATCTTGTGAAGCAATATTTAAAAAAAAAAAAAGGTTTGGCTTTTGGGAAGTATTTGTCTCTTCATTAAGTTCCATGTAGGATGCATACTTTTAATTAGTCTTCACACAGGCTTATTTTAATTATGTTCTGCTTAGAAAATTTAGTTATTTTCACATGGTACAACAGAATAATCTCAAGTTTAATGGTTTCTTTTCAGAACTCAGTTGATTTAAGGATAAAGCCTTGGGGTGCCTGGGTGGCGCAGTCAGTTAAGCGTTCGACTTCAACCAGGTCACGATCTCGCGGTCCGTGAGTTCGAGCCCCGCGTCAGGCTCTGGGCTGATGGCTCAGAGCCTGGAGCCTGTTTCCGATTCTGTGTCTCCCTCTCTCTCTGTCCCTCCCCCGTTCATGCTCTGTCTCTCTCTGTTCCAAAAATAAATTAAAAAACGTTGAAAAAAAAAAAAGGATAAAGCCTTGAGTATTTTGCTTTTTGAATTTTGTTCTTTTCAGATGATCTTCCTCTATTTGATGGTCTGAACTCCCTGTCAAGGAATATTAGAAGTCGGGTGCACCTGGCTGGCTCAGTCATTTAAGGGTCCGACCCTTGATTTTTATTCAGGTCATGATCTCAGGGTTGTGAGATTAAGCCCCTGGCATTGGACTCTTCACTGACAGCACGGGGCCTGCCTGGGATTCTCTCTCTCCCCCTCTGTCTCTCTGTTCCTCCTCTGTGCATTTTCTCTTTCTCTCTCTAAACACTTAAGAAGGATATCAGGGGCGCCTGGGTGGCTCAGTCGGTTAAACGTCCGACTTCGGCTCAGGTCACGATCTCGCGGTCCGTGAGTTCGAGCCCCGCGTCGGGCTCTGGGCTGATGGCTTGGAGCCTGGAGCCTACTTCCGATTCTGTGTCTCCCTCTCTCTCTGCCCCTCCCCCGTTCATGCTCTGTCTCTGTCTCAAAAATAAATTAAAAAAACTTTAAAAAAAAAAAAAACATTTAAGAAGGATATCAGAAATCAAAAAGTATAAAAAATCTTAGATTTCTTCTGAATAATTTATAATTTGGAAAAGCTTTTATAGTCTAGAAGTAGGGGTCATTGTTTTGCTAAGGGAAGAGGAAAATGAAATGAATAGATTGCATAGAAATGCTAACTAAGGATATATCTTCGTTTAGTATTGGCTTAAGCATTAATAGTATTTTCCAGGCAAGCCTCACTTTATGGGATGGCTGGTAGGTGACTTTGCTTCAGATTTGCAGGTTGGTGGATAATGCTGTTATGATTTGTGTGATTGCATTGCATGTGATAACAGCCTCATGAAATACTTCATTTCCTTAAAAGCAGTGGCCTAAATCATAAAGATACATAATGCTTTCTTTCATTTAATGGTTTCATTAAAGATAGTCTCTGTCTCTTGGATAGGGCAGATTGACGTTTGGTTTTTTCCTTCTCAAACTTCTCGTTTTATTGTTACCATCATATCCTAGAAATAATGGGAAAGAAGTTTTTTTTTTTTTTTTTTTTTTTTTTTACCCCCCGCTGTGGTTCTTTTATTAGGGAGCAGAATTTTTCAGGAACATTCTCCTGCCCTAGAAGATTTCTTCTCTGTTTCATTGGCCAGAACTAGATCAATGGCTGCCTAGTTAGGAAAGAGTTTAGAAAAGTGAGGCTCTGCTGAAGTTGGGGAGGTAGTGGGTATTGGATAAGCAAACATGGTCTGCTCTGGGAAGCTAATAAACTCTTTTCTGAATTAAAATAAAAGCTTTTTTTCCCCTTTTTTTCTTTTAAGATTTTATTTTTAATCTCTACACCCAATGTAGGGCTTGAACCCACAGTCCTGAGATCAAGAGTCTCACGCTCTACCAACTGAGCTAGCCAGGTGCCCCAGAATAAATGCTTTTGAATGAAGGATTTTCATGCTAACATTAGAATGTTTCTCTGCCTAGGTACTTTTGTATAAACCGAGGGTTAAGCTCTTTTCCCCTCTTATTTCTATAACGATATTTATCCTGCCATTGACTACTAAGCTTGCATTTTTTTTTTAATTTTTAAAAATTCACTTATTTTTAAAAATATGCCTCATGCCCAGTGTGGAGCCCACAGTGGGGCTTGAACTCACGATCCTGAGCTGAGATCAAGAGTCGGATGTTTAACCGACTAAGCTACCCAGGCGCCCCAAACTTGCATTTCTTTATAAAGCTTAGAAAAGAGGCCAAGAACTTGTATCAACCAGAGGCTGAGGGAACTTACCTAAGGAAGACGCCAATTTTTAATTTTTTTGTGAAAGACCATGCTCCGTATCCCTTCTTGTTTCATTGTTGTATGCTCATTGTATAGGAGTTGTGATGTACTGTGGTAGTTTACTTAGGCATTTTCCCTTGTAAGTTTCTAGATGTAGTTTAAAATGATCAGGGAAAAACTAAAGGTCAGATGGGTATATGTTACACTTGATCTTAGCCAAAAGGCCGAGAAGCGATCACATAGGTATATATTAAAGATATTAAATATTGGGGTGCCTGGGTGGCTCACTTGGTTAAAGTGTCTGACTTCGGCTCAGGTCATGAACTCGCTGTTCATGAGATCGAACCCCACACTGGGCTCTGTGCTGACAGATTCACATTCTGCTTCACATTCTGTCTCCCTCTCTCTCTGCCCCTCCCCCACTCGTGTGCACGCTCTGTGTTTTTCTTCTTCTCTCTCTCAAATAAACGGTAAAAAAAAAAATATTAAGTACTCATTCTAGATCCTCATTACATGACAGTATCCCAAACTTGACAGAAAAAGCTCCTTTCTCCCATAACTTTGCAGTTACGTTCTCTAGACTCTACTACCACTTTACAGCTGCTTCCCTGGGCTTGAAGAAGCTCATGCTCACCGCATTATTTGGTAATAGTGGTGGTAATATAGTGATCCTATGATTGTGGCTGAAAAACTTCCTGAGACTAAGTATGGCTACCAAAAATAAGATGGTACAGAGAGTGGCTGTTTGACTGTTGGAAGGGACTTAGTTCTGGCCTTATTTCCGAGGACATCGTATCACTGGCTTACTCATTGAAGTTGCTGGTAGAGATTGTTACTAACATTCAGGTATAGGACTTGAAAGTAATGAAGGAACGTTATCTATCATATTGATTTGGTCAGTATATCTTTAATAATCTAGAACCATTTTCTGTTTGTTATTTTTGGGACTAGAGCTGCATTACTCCCCAGAAACACTTTGTCTTATACAAATATAGAGTAACAGTCTCTCCTCCCCCCATCTTTGATAGTTATGCTGGAATCCTTAGAAATGTAACGAATCTATAAATCCCTTTATGGGAATCACAGCTGCTGCATGGAATTCATGTTCCTGTTAATGCCTGGACTTGGCCCAAGTTTACTTGCACATGTTGAAACTTCCTGTTATTTTTTTATTTTATTTATTTATTTATTTATTTATTTATTTAAAAAAAATTTTTTTTTTCAACGTTTATTTATTTTTGGGACAGAGAGATACAGAGCATGAACGGGGGAGGGGCAGAGAGAGAGGGAGACACAGACTCGGAAACAGGCTCCAGGCTCTGAGCCGTCAGCCCAGAGCCTGACGCGGGGCTCGAACTCCCGGACCGCGAGATCGTGACCTGGCTGAAGTCGGACGCTTAACCGACTGCGCCACCCAGGCGCCCCTAAACTTCCTGTTATTTTAATGATGAGTTTTACTGCTTCTTCAATTCAGGCAGTGAGTTTAGTCCTATAAAGTTTCCCTTCTAGATCATTTAAGAGAGAGAATAAAATCATATCCAACACTGGGAAGCACTCTGTCTAAACTTTTCTGTCTCTGTCTTTTCTATCTAGAGAAGTTGTTTTTGCCTTTGTGTGTTACAGCTTGTCTTCAAGAGCAGATGTCCACTCAGGAGACAGGCTTGAGTGTGTAACCTCAAAACTGAAAGCCAATTGAGAAGGACAGATAAATGCTTTCACTCATATGTGGAACTTGAGAAACTTAACAGAAGACCATGGGGGAAAGAAAGGGGGGAAAAATAGTTACAAATGGAGGGAGGGTAGCAAACCATAAGAGACTTTTAAATAACAGAGAACAAACTGAGGGTTGATTCGGGGGGAGGGGCAAATGGGTGAGGGACATTGAGGAGGGCACTTGTTGGGATGAGCACCGGGTGTTGTATGTAAACGATGAACCATGGGAATCTACCCCCAAAATCAAGAGCGTACTGTACACGCTGTATGTTAACCAATTTGACAATAAATTATATTAAAAAAACCTGAAAGCCAATTATGTCAGTTCTCTATCTACCTGAATAGTCAAAATCTTAAAGCTATTAGAGTGATTGTCTACTATGTAAGAAGCCATGTTGCCATTGCCCAAGTCCTTTTATCTTTCTTAAGCCTTGTGGACACATTATTTAGGTTGATCAGTGCGGAGTACTTCAGTGGGGTTTTGTTTTCAGATTTGCATTCCTGACAGGTTCTTAGATCTGTGATTTTCTTGGCCCTGTTGGAGTTACCTTCTAGTTCCTCCTATCTTTCTTTCCCTTCCCATGATGAGCTAATTATCTATAATAGATTTGGAACTTCTACATGCTGACGCTTTGAAGCACAAGAGTGCTAATTAGTATTATGAAACACTTTGATGTCTACCTGAGCTTTGATAGGTCTTTGGGGTTTTGCCTTGGGATATCTGTCAAGGTAGGAAACATAAGTCATGTTGAAAAGTTGAAGATATTTTATTTAGCCTCTTCTGTCACTAGTGCTTATGAACAAAAACTTTATATTGAATCTGGGCTTTTTTTTTTTAAATATTTATTTGTAAGTAATTTCTACACCCACTGCGGGGCTTGAACTCAAGAGTCACATGCTCTGTTGGCTGAGCCTGCCAGGCGCCCCGAATCCAGGCTTGTTTTATATTTGAGTTAATGCATAAGAACCAGAAGTGAGATCTTGAACTATGTTTCAGGTTTTCTTTGGGGCAGGGTTTCTCAGGAGTTTGAAAATGTATGGGGCATTGCTGGTGTTGTGCGGCATGGGGAATGCTGTCGGCATGGACGGAAGGGAGCCAGGAGTACTGTGTGTTCTGCGCACATGCACTGTCCAGAGCAGCACTTTGTCTTTGCTCACACGTTGGTGACGTCACAGTTGAGAAACGTCATCTCGTGATTGAGGAACCTTAATGCAGTGTTAAAGTTTAGGACAGATACATTCAGATCAGGTGTCATGAGGCCTCTTCATGAGTTTAACTTACACGGTAGCTTTTGTGTTTTTATTGTTTTGAAGTATAATTGACTTAAATACACATTTATAAAGGTTCAGGTTGATGACTTTGGATGCGTGTGACACTGAAGAACCCATCTGTAATACCTCCTGCTTTTCTTGCTCCCTGCCCCCAGCAACGTCTGATCTGTTTTCTGTCACTGTAGATTAATGTGCATTTTCTAGAGTTTTGTGTAAATAAAACCATACAACATGTACTCTTTTTCTGGCTTCTTTCAGCATAATTTTGAGATTTCATCCATGTCATCACGTGTTATTAATGTGTCACATATGTTTCTTTTTTTATTACCAGATAGTGTTCCATTTTACAGATGCACCGTAACGTGTATATCCAGTGACCTGTTAGTGGTCGTTTGGGTGTGTCCACTTTTGGGATCTTAACAAGAAAGATGTTTCAGTCATGTGCAAACTTTTTTTTTTTTTTTAAAGAACTTTTAATTACTTTTCTGTACGGAAAATATAATGGTGTCCACTTAGCCCAGTTTGGGGGCCAGTTTTTTTAGGCTTCGCCTTTTTCACCTTGGCGATGCAAGCCACTGACTTTGGACCCGGGATGTTGCCTCCCCAGTGACTGCGGGTCTCATCGTATCTGTCATTGTCATTGGTCCCGATAGCTTCCAGCAGCTTAGCCAGAGCTCCTTTTTCTTCTGAGTTAACCTGTGGGAAGGTGACAGTGGTGCCGGTCTTCCTGGGGACCAGACACCCCAGGCTGGCCTTCCTCTTGATAACGCGGTAAGGGACCCCCGTCTTCGGACACAGGGCAGGCAGGGAGACAGCCCACTCACTGGGATCCACCTCGTGTGCAGTCGCTACCTGCCAAGCCTTCTTGCTTTCCACCAGGGCGGCGACAGTATTAACCCCAGCTCGAAGGACAGGCAGCCTCTTGGAGGGGACATCCCCTTTCCTGATCGCTCTCTTCTCAGCCTGGACTAACAGTCTCTTCTCCTTCTCTTGCTTTGTCTCTGGGCTGTACTTGGGGGCCAATTTAAGCGTTTGAGTAGCCATTTGCCCATCCCAGGCATGGGTGAACCGGTTAATTGCAGGAGGCACTCTCTTAGACGTTTATAGAGAACAGCCCTTTGTTCCCGCGGCCAGATGTAGCAGGGCCATGTGCACGTACAGACTTCTAGTATGAACATGTGCTTTTCTTTTTCTTGAGTAAATACCTAGGAATAGAATAGCTGGTTAATACGGTAGGTATATGTGCTATTAAACTGCCCAACTGTTTTCTTTCTATCTCTCTCTCTCTCTTTTTTTTTTTTTTTAATTTTTATTTGCATTTATTTTATATAGAATTTACTCCCAGGCTGTAAGTTTTGTTTCTTCATTTTCTTCTGGGATATCTTTTCCGTCTTTGCAGCTTCCTCTTCCAGCTTAGGAGCAGTCTGCCCTTTTAGTAAGGATCGTCTCAGTGTGGCAGGGAGAGCTCATCTATGGGTTAATCTGACCATGAACCCTGTAAGCTCTATACTGCGTCCTGCAGGCTTTGTTTACCTGGATGTGCTCAATGACCAGAGGATCATCTACATCCTTACGTTCAGCATGACTCTGCATTTTTAAGCATGTTCACTAAAAATTGAGCGCTCTTTTTGGACCACTGATTCTGTGTCCAGCCC